TTTGTTTACATGTAACACATCACCTTCATCACTTTGTTTACATGTAATAGTTGATAAACCAGCATGAACTTCTTAGGGTCGGAGTTTGTTGCGATCACTACAGCCGAGTGTCTCCGCTCACACAACATCTCACCAGGAGTCGGGGAGCACCGTGGTGAGCTCCCTGTGGGGAGGCGAAGGAGGTGGTGCAGGGAGAGAAAGCAGGAGTGGGGCTGCAGGGCTGGCATGCTTGTAAAGTTAAGGAGGCTGCAGCGTAAACCACCGCTCCCCAGCCTTTTTCTTTCAAACACAAGACGCCACCGGTAAGACGGACGAACTGCGACTACTCACCAACTCCTAGTTGGAGCAGAACCGTCTGAAACCTGCTTAGCTCCGTAAGAACAAAAACCAGGGCCTAGCGTGTGTTGTGCTCTGCAGCAGACCAGCAGGCTGTGGACATGTCCCACCCACTAACATCTTCTTCTGGTCTTTCCTGATGTTGCGTCGCTGGCTGGGGAGCAGATCTATAGATGCAGTTTATTCGGTGCAGAGGGGGGGCCCACACAGTGGGTGGGTGTTCTTCCAGTGTGGGCGCGCTGCGCGGGGTGAGGCCCGTCAGTGGCAGCTCTTTAAAGACAAAGCTCATACGAAACAGAACTAAATCTCTTCAGGTGTTTTGAAGTGACGTCACCTGAAGCAGCCGCACTGGATCCAACAGCCACAGAAGCCCCGCCCACTTTATTTATAAAGTCAGAGCAGGGGTCGTCTCAGGACACCGACCAGAAACATTCATGTATAAAATAATTATTATTTATCTGTTGAAGAGCAGGAGGTGAAGCGCGCACTACGGGCTGTTAACCAGAGGAAGGCTGCTGGACATGAATGTCCCCGGACGAGTTCTGAGAGACCAAGACTGTCAACAGTTGTCCCCGTCCATGGCTCCGCCCTGCCTGAAGACAACTACGATCGTCCCCATACCCCAGAAGTTTCTTTCTCGTTCCACCACACGTGGTGTCCACAGGGTCCCCGTTACTCCCAACAACACGCTGAACACGAGTCTGTGTGAGCAGATGAGTTCTGGGCCAGTTTGGATCAAGAACCTCTGCGTGTGTGTTTGGACCTGTGGAGAGCAGGAACCAACCGGAGCGAGCCTCACTCAGAACCAGCTGGGTTTGGGTTTTACCTTTTGCAGCGTTTCAGGCATTTGCTGCTTTCAGAAGGTTTGAAAACAGATTTCCAGATCCCACTTTTGGCCATTTCATCTGAGATGTTCACTTCTGACGGGTCGGACCTGCACAGAACCACAGAAACAGGGTCAGTCTGCAGCAGAACCCTTGCAGACCCATCAGTGTTTGGACCAGACTCACCGTCCCTTCAGGCCTTTGATGGGGAACTTGAGGCAGTTTTCTCGCTCGTACCGCTCCTCTTCCTCCTCCAACATCCGCTGAGCGTCCTGAAGAGGAGCAGACAAAATGAGTCAGGAGGGACCGGACGGTACCAGCGGTCCTCGCAGACCCGATCAGACAGCACCGCCCACCCACCCCCTTCTCCCTCTTCTTCTTATCGTCGTCTCTCTTCTTCTTGCTCTCTGGGATCAGGTCGTCCAGCCAGCTCAGCTCTCTCTTGGAGAAGCAGAAGTCCAGAAGCTTCCGGATGAAGACCAGAGCCAGAACCTGCAGGGAGAATTGGGTTGGAGGTGAGCCTCTGTGTAAAGAAGCGGGTCGGTCAGAACCGGCTGCCTGTCCTGTCTCACCATCATGGGGAAGACGACGGCGGCGGCGGAGACCTTGATGACCCAGAGGATGATGAGGCAGGCCAGCTGGACCACGGTGAAGATGTGGACCTTCCAGAGCGGCACGTAGCGCAGGTAGATCAGGTCCGGCTGATGCTTGGTGGACATGCCGAACAGCTTGATGCGGTCAAAGAGCTGCAGAGCAGAGGAGACGTTATCACCACGTCCTCATCGAAACAACGTTCAAGTGTTCGAGCAGACGGACCTGGATGCCTTTGAGTGAGGACACGCCCATGTAGAGGAAGACTCCGTACAGGACGGGCATCGGGATGAACTGCAGCAAACAGGAAATGCTTATTCCCCTTCAAAATAAAGCTCGTTAGTGCTTGAACCTGTGAGGCGCTGACCTTCAGAGCAGACGTCATGAAGACGGAGCAGCCCATCAGGACGAAGATCATGAAGCCGGTCACCCTCTGCTCCCTGATGCCCAGGAACTTGGGCTGCTCGCCGGGCGCCGCGCAGCCCGACTCCACCTTCAGGCTGTTGACGTGGGAGATGGAGAGCACCGTCGCCGCCACGAACCACGGCAGGCCCATGATGGAGCACACGCCCAGCATGACGGCCACCACCAGCAGGTCCAGGTGGTACCCACAGCCTTTCTGCAGCCAAGACACAAAGACACTCCAAGGTCAACCCCCCCTCACTGTCTGAACCCAACAAGACCCCCCCCCCCCCCCCATGGTTTGAACCCACCTTCAGCTTGTTCTCCTTCCTGTTGATGATGATGGCCGTGATCTGCTGGTCCATGAAGACCAGGATGGTGCAGAGCAGAGCTGGGACGGCGGCGGCCAGCAGCGTCCACCAGGGGTTCGGTCCCAGGGGGGAGATCAGCCACCCCCGATGGTCGGATGTGGGCTGCTCAGACGGATTCATTTATTAATGTTTGAGTCCAGTTAGAGAGGAACCTGGAAGATTCTCCGGTCTGAAATGGACCAGAGGAGGGCCGGCAGGTCCGGCTCACCCGGTCTTACCTTGAAGCGAACGGGAACGTCGAGTTTCGGTGAAGGAACTCCCACCAGGTAATCCAGCAGCACCATGATCATGATGGTCAGGAAGACGGCGAAGTCGCTGATGGACGAGCGCACCTGCACACAGAGACACCACCAGCTGACCGGGCTAGACCAAGACCAGGACAAACAGAACCAGAGCCACAGGAGGTTCTGGGACCATCAGAGAGCGGCACCACGTGTGTCAGAGGACAGACGGACCTTGGTGGGGAAGTATCTCATGGTCTTGAACTTCTTGAGGAAGGAGGAGAGGAAGAAGGTGGCGAAGAAGAGGATGATGGACCAGAAGAGGACGTCGGGGACGTAGGGACCATTCAGGCTGCAGGCCGAGCCGACAAACTGTCCTTTCAAGTCCAGACACTTCTGCAGACAGACAGACAGACAGGCAGACAGTCAGACAGGCAGACAGCCAGACAAACAGGCAGTCAGGTGCAGCTCCTCTGTCGTCCTCCAGATGCTGCTCCGACACAAACTGACAGTCCAGAGTCAAAGTCTGATCTTTAGCTCCAGAGCTTCATCTGGTCCAGATGACTCAGCAGAAACGTTCGTCGGCTGAGATGAAAACGTTTCGGCTGTTTCCTGTTTCTGCTGCCAGCAGGTGAAGTCAGCACTTTTTCCAGACGTGCATTTTTCTTCATACAAACTTTATTTACGGATTATTGAACCTGCAGTTTGTCACTAACAGATCAATAAAGTCTCTGAGGCACAATAAATAAACAAACAAACAAACAAACAAACAAACAACGTGTTGAAGGGAGCAGCAGAAATGAAAGTTGGGAGGAGGTCAGACCTTCACGCTCAGCTGGTCCCACTCGATGGTCTCCAACGTTTGGTTTCTGCTCGTCCACAGCTGCAGGACTTCAGCCGAGGCGTTGGCAGGAGGAGAACACCGACACCTGGAACAGAACCAGCACGGCCCGCTCAGGTCCACTTTCATTCACAACCCTCAAACACCACACGAGCCCGCCCAGAGGAAAATAACACGTTTCTGTCTGACTTGGACTCTTCATGGTGTTTTTAAATTCATGTAAACTGGAAAAAACTCCAGTTCTGGTTCTAAACCAGAAGGTCCGTCCTAGCAGACGTGGTCCAGATGTCCCTGGGTGTGATTACAGCCTGCAGCTCGAGGACAGAGTGACCTCCTTACGTGTAGAAGGTGAGATTGTCCAGCTCGTCGTGCATGTTGACGGGGAAGGCGTCCCCCAGGTGGACCAGCTTGGCCAGAGCCTCGTAGATGAAGATGATGCAGATGAGGGCGGCGAAGGCCTCCTCCGTGAAGCGCGTGATGTAGCACACCAGGGAGCTGGCGTCCGTGGCCACCAGCAGGATGCAGAGGAAGGCTGTCCAGAGTCCGATACTGGTCCTCAGGGACAGGTAGGACAGCTGGTAGTCACTGAGGACAGACAAAAGGACCCAACGGGTCAGGATGGTTCAAACAGAACATCACTTCTTCTGGCAATCTGACATCAACATTCTGTTGAAACTTCTTTTAAAGAGAAAAATGAGAGATCAACGTTTGAATCTGAGTTGAGAGACACGAGACCAACAGACGGAGCGGATCACTGATGCCTTCACTGACCCTCCTGAACGTAGGAAACGGCACGTTTAAAGTCCTGAACGTTTCTGACCTGCAGAAATAAATCCTCACTAAAACAAGAAGAAACTGTTCCTGAGTAGCATCAGCACGTCTGAACAAAGCTCCGTCTAAAACGAACGTTTAAACGTTTAAACAGAACAGTCTGTTTTTATCTGCTCAGACTCAGAGCAGCTTTATTTAGAGACTTTAAAACACCCACAGGACCAAAGTGCTGTTCACATAATAAAACAGACAATAAAGAACAACTAAAATAATTAAAGTCAACATCTCAGATGGGGTCAGGGGTCAGAGACGGTTTTAAGAAGGATTTAAAAACAGACAGAAGAGTCTGATGTTCATTGAAGGTCGTTCCACAGTTTAGGAGCTGCAGCAGCAGAAGCACGGTCTCCTCTGAGCTCACACTCAGGAGCAGCTGATCACATGACCCGAGGAGCAGCTGATCACATGACCC